TAATGATCAAGACCGTGAACGATCTAGATCGCGAGAAATAGTCGGTTAATCGAAATCCTACTGTTGGTGGAAACGAGGAAAGAGAGAGGGGCAGAGAAAATTAGAAGGAAAGAGGGGAAGATTGAACACTAGAACTACTGAGTATTTAATAGTTAATGTGGTTGATATGTTTTCTAGTTGATCATGAGAATTGATTGTTATAAGAATTATAAGAATGGGATTTTTTAGGATCGCGCTGATATTCATTGTAGAATGCAAGCGAGAATATTTATTTTTCGAATAGTTTCGGATATTCAACAGTTTTATGGTATCAAATTTTATGGTGCAAAACAAGAGGACCGAAAGTTTTGATTGGTAGTTCTAGTGTTAACCCTTTGCGCTCGAGAGGCGATTTTCAGTTGTCATTCGGTTCGGCAGAATGAAATTAGAAAGTTTAATATTTAATATCGAATTTTGTGTAATTAATACGTGAAACGTTGAAATAGAATAAGTCTCTTCGTTAATTCGTGTATGATTTGTTTGTGTTAGTTGTAAATGACGTCGAGATATTGCATTGGGGAATATTTATGGTGAGAAGAATTTTTGAGTGCAAAGGGTCGAAGGAGAAAGGAGCGGAAAAAGTAAAACCGATAGAAAAATCGTATCACGTATCCTGCGACTTGCACGACGAGCTGCGGAATGTTGAATCTTATTGGAAATTCAAGTTCGAACATTCGCTGGTCATCGATTATCGTAACAACTTATTGCCAATCGAGGCACTCTTACATCTTCGATTTACCATCGCAATATTAGAGGTTTTTCTAGTCGAAACGAGCACTTAATTGAACCTTGACGACCACTGCGAAATGTTTGCTGCCAGCATCGTGTTTTTAACGTAATGAAATTAATAATTAATGGTTAATTATTAATATAATAAAAATTAATGGATAATTAAACATTAATGGACCATTATGCCTTTAATTAAAATTAACGGTTAATTAATAACAGAATTAAGCATTAATGTTTCTTTATCAATGGAATTAACCATAAATGTTTAATTATTAATTTAATTAACCATTAACGTATAATTATTAATGGAATGAACAATTAAGTTGATTTTTTTTAATGGAGATACATGTGTATCATGTAGAATCAACTAAATAACGTTTACATTAATAGGTAATCAATGTATGAATTGTAAGATTTAAAAAGATTACGCTGGCAACTTTTCGAAGTACTTATTTCCAATTACGCGGTCGCCAAAGCATCAATAACGATCACCTTTGATTTGTTGTCTTTCGAACGTTCAACAAATAGCCTTAACATTACGCGGTTCCAGCCGTGAGTACTTTTTGGTTACTCAATTCTGATGAATTTATGTATTTCTTAACGATCCTTGAAAATCTTCTAAAATATTGGAAAAATATTGTATATATTGTACTACTCGGTATCACTGAAAACAAGTAGATCAATAATGTTCAATTAAACAAAGTGAAACTTTTCCTTGAACCTTTAAAAAAATTTGACCAATTCAATAGCATTAGAAAATTTCTCGACGAAACCAGTAACTTCGTACTTAATTCCCATTTTCATGAACCAACCCAAGAAATTAAGAATTCCCATGAATCTCCAAAATTCAATCATTCTATTTTATATTCATGAATAAATTCGTTGAAAATATTTATTTTTTTCAGATAAACATGTAATTTTTCTTTGTTTTGTTTTGGTTTCTCATTAATCGTTCATTCGATTAAACGATGACTATTTGAAAACGTTTCTATATTATAAACAGTGCTACATAATGCAGCGACATTCAACTAAATTAACGTGTAATAATAATAATGCAATTCAATGAAATGATTTAGTAGTATATTCTATCCATTTTGATTTTGATTCCCCAAATGATTTAGTACTATATTCTTTCCATTTTGATTTTGATTTTCCAAATGATTCAGTAGTATAATTTTACCGATTTTCCAAACTAAATTCCACTGTTAACGGGTTAACATTTCCGTCACGGATCTGACAGGATATTGTAATTAAAGGGTTGAAAGGGGTCCTAGTGTGCCTTTTCGCGATACGAATATAATCACAGGCGAAAGGTGTGTCGAACAAAGTTACGAACGGTGGTTGACGAAGAGAACATTCGTTCGTCTATTAATTGGCCCCTTCGTTTCGCGCGTAACGAACAGTTTCTGATCGAGCTAATTAAAATGTGCCCGAGAATGTCACGGTTAATTAAATCCGGCTCGATGAGCACTGCTCATCGAAGATGTATCGATTTAATAGGGACACCGGTCGGTTGAATTTCATTCTGTGGGCAGTTTAATACAACACGCTGGTGTTTATTAAACAACCACCGGCTCCGAGACACACGTGCTCGAATAGTTTATCGCTCGATCGGATTACGAATGTTAATGTTAACGCATTCGTGGCGCGTGACGTACGCCGTGGTCTGTGAGTTACCGGACATTAACAGGAATAAACGTCGAACAAAACTGAATCAATCTGGTGAGAGTAGGTGTAAAGTAAATTTACCAATAACTAACCCGCTAAGGTTATATAAATATAATTATTTAATATTTAATATAAATATTGGAATATACATATTTGATATAAAATATTTCATATAAATATGTAATATAAAATATTTCATATAGATATTTGATATAGAATATTTCATATAAATATTTGATATAGAATATTTCATATAAATATTTAATATAAAATATTTCACATAAATATTTGGTATAGAATATTTTATATAAATATTTGATATAGAATATTTCATATAAATATTTAATATAAAATATTTCACATAAATATTTGGTATAGAATATTTTATATAAATATTTGATATAAAATATTTTTGATATAAATATTTAATATAAAATATTTCATATAAATATTTGGTATAGAATATTTTATATAAATATTTGATATTAAATATTTGATATAAAATACTTCATATAAATATTCATACGTATATCGTATACTCATTTATACAAATATGCTGTCTTTATAGCATGCATTTGTTTGCAACAAGATGCAATGAAAAAGATAAATGCTTATTTATTAATAAATACTGTAATCTTGAAACTATTTACCTTCGACTCGAGAAACATTTTCTTCCTGGGACACCCGGTATAGATAAGTATTTCAATATTATGGACCCGAAAGCATTAAAATTGATTTAGTAAAAGAAGCTGTTGAAACAGGTAATGCTATTAATGTCTTGTTTGCGATAAATACGATCAGATTATCATTCGTTCCAGTAGCTCCTTAAAGCTTTTAAGCCTTTCAAGGCTTCTCGCAGAATTTCCAAGGGTTGAGTAATTCATACTCACGGCTGGAATCGCACGGAACTTAATAAAATAATCTCACCGAACACGTCTGGTTGATTTTCTTAATCATCAATGATCGAGGGATCCGGATCTGACGTTCTTGTTTCGAGATTCACGTGCCTTCGCCGATTTATCTCGTCCGATTTGCATGCTTCTCAATCATTCGACGCTTATCGAATAATCCTTGAAATAAAAGTCTCAATTTTCATTCCAACTGATAATCGAACATCTTAGTTACAATCATTAACCATTAAACGCGTCGAATATTGCACAACATTGCTCCAAATATGAATTATTATCAGTAGAAACATAATGCTTCTTACTTTCCTCGTTTCTTAATCAAGAAGTAACTCTAAATAATTAATTATTTAAAGAATATTTTGTTTACTGGACAATCGAAAGTTTGATTTTCTTCACAGAAAAATTTCGATAACAGGGAAAGGCAATTTTCTGTTTCCGATGAATCGAATCTCTCGATTTAACCCACTAATTTCAATTTCATCAAATCGTCCGTCGGTATTTTGAGAGAAAAATAGAAACACAAGCAAATACGAGACGCTAAAAATCTATTAATGGCCGAATCAATGACGAAACATCGTGCTGGAGGCCACAGACGAGTCCTCTATCTCAACCTTACCTAAAAATACAGCTACTCACACTCTGCCCTATTAAAGCGTGTTCAGTTTTCCTAATAGAAAGCATTCGTATTTTAGTTTTCAAACCCACGCATAGATTTCTTATATTCACGACTAAAATGCAAATGGATTAATAATTCTACTACTGGATTAACACGTTGACTGTCGTGCGGGTCACCGGTGACCCCCAACCAAATTGAATTACTATAGTTCACTCAATTAAACGACGATTGTTTGGAAACATTTCTATATTACAAATAATGCTACTTAATTTTGTGACATTTAGCTAGAAGAACGTGCAATAGTAACAATGCAATTCAAGCAAATGATTTATTATTATATTTTTTCATTTTGTGTATTTTGCTCTATGAAATCGTGTGGCATTCAACGTGTTAATATTCTACCGGTGAAGATCACCAAATGCAACGAATGTCTTGCATTCATTGTTTCAAATTTAACCCTTCGCGGTCGTAACATCGAACTCCTTTATTCTTGACTTTTCCTGTTTTTCTTTGCTACAGGAGAATAACTCTATGGAAAAATAATCAAGATTTTTAATTAATTAAATACGACTATTCTCCATTACTGAGGATTATATGTAATTTCCGGATTAACCCTCTGTAGGCTCATGTAACTTTGAAGTCACATATCAATATATTGGCATCTTGTTGGTTTATTTCATTTTGCACTCGAAGTGGTGAATAAAATGAAATCAGTTAACTTCAACTTTTGTGCGCTCAGGCGTGAAAGTTTAACGTCATTGTAACTTGAAAGTTACAAAATATATTCGTTTGATGAAATTATTGAAACTATTGAATACATTCTTAACTCGTATTCATATGTGGATATTTATTAATTTTGTACTGCATAGATTTTGTTATAATAATGAACAAAAATTCGGCCCATAGAGGATTAACACATTGCGTTAATCTCAAAAATCTCGTTTTTATATAAAGACACTTAGCTATGCAACTTCGCTAATTACCGCAGTATTGAAGAAATATCAAATTTAATTCGAATCAATTATATATTTAAAATATATTACACAACAATATGATATCTGAGTTTTTCCATGTATAGTGATATAAGTTGACCTCAGTGAAAATTGCCGTCCGCACAATTCAGTTTTCTGAAAATTAGCCGGTACGCAATGTATTAATTGAATTTATCGTAACATATATACAGATCATAACAACGGAAAACAAAGGTTTCCTATTAGTCAAACGAAGCACGCTTCGATCGAGCAGACTGTGCGTCGTCTTTCGTCAGAGGAACGGTTTCAGCCGAAGGTTCCCACGTTCTCGAAAACGTCACCGGGAAATTATAGCCGGAGTAATTTCCCCCGATCCTTTGATCAGTTTCCTAAGTCCTCGTCGTTGTCCTCGACCTACGCGACGAGGCGATTCGCACGGGTCACGGGTGAGAGTTTCTGAATCTATGATCATCGATAGGTACACTCTGCGACTTCATACGAATCTCACGCAGGAAGTCTTTTGTTTGTTAGAAAAGTTCTCCGCTCGAAGCTTCCCAATGAACTCCACTGGCAGAGGGTTAATTAGGAAACTTCCTGTAACCATCACGAAGTTCGTAGCCGAGAATCGTCGCTCGACTGTTTAGAACACTTCCTGTATCCTGTTTTTCGAAAGAAGAGACCTGGACGGAGTTTGCTCCATCGTGATCGGTTTTTAACACTTAACCGGCCGGGCGGGTGAAAATACTCGTACTCTGCTGCGAATTGAAGCCACTTATATATTGTTGATTTGACAATTATGAACTTCTTTATAAATTTATATGCTCTTGGGAAGAATCATATGATAGTAGAATTCATAGTTCGCGTTCTCTTTCTGCTAACTCAAAATATTGTAAAATGTCAACAAAAATTCCCACGCTTAACCACCGGTTAAATGTTAACACTAAACGCACCGCGATCGGTCAAATGACCGGTTCTCAAATTTGATTTAAAATTCTGCGTTTTTCGTTCATTTAACTTTGTATTAATTTCATTAATTGGTTTTCCAACTTTTGTCTTTCGTTTTGTTTCTGTTTCCAATGAGGAACAGTGATAGTCCTGAACAGCTCCTTGCCTTATAATATCGCGTCAGACTTGTGAAAAGTTTATACAGAATATAATATAAACATAAATATGACGATTCTTTTGAATTCAAATTAGATATTGTTCTCTTGTTATGAATTATTATACTTTGGAGTAAATATAAACATAGAATTTGCTCAGAACTTTCCCTTTTTTCTTAGTAAATTATTAATGACAAAGTAGTTGCATCGATCATAGTTGAGAATGACAGCAAAGATTAACGACGACTAGGTTATGGATTTAAAGAAACTCGAATCAAATAACAATTTTCTTGGTGATTCTAACAAAGTCTAAACAACAGAAAAATCTCGTTAGAAAATGACCAATTTTCTATTTCACGGTAAATTCGAATCGTAAAGGTCCCTCTAGAAGTATAATTACTATTGATTTTCATTAGAAGGCAAACACTTAATATTATTATTTCTGCGAAACAATTCTCTACGAATAAAGCTTGAAGAATCTAAATACAATACAGTATATTAAATAATGAAAAATAAAGTTTCTCGAGACTAATTAGTAACTAGTTCACTGACAATTTCTCCCCCCGATACTAACACGAAAAATAAATTAAATCTTCCTTAAGTATACACAATACAAAACACGCAATATACAATATGGTTCCCGCAATAAATGACGATTAAAAAAAAAACCATTGAAGGTTACAATCTAACAGTGTAGATGCTCCAGGAAATATTGTACAATCCAAGACCAGTGTCAACGAATCCCAAGTCCCTTCTTTCGAAGAACAAACGATAACCAGCGGCGACAGCGCATCACTGCGCATCGTGTTCTCATTTATGAGACACCGTGGGAATTCCAGAAAATCTGACGATAAGCATCGTTAGCTCGGGTGTTTCTGTTGCGCAACAACAATTCGATCGATCAATCGATCGTTCGTCCGCGAGCGAAGAATATTGTTTCATCCCTATTTCGCGGCACGGAACGTTCATCTGGAAAATCATTCTCGATGGAGCGTCTGTCGCGCCTCGTTCGTTTCAGGATCGACTCGACAGACGCGGGATCATTTTACACTTCCGTGGAATGCGTTTGAATCCGAACTTTCTTTTGCGATCCATTCCTGGACAGCGTCGGACTGTGCGCCGAGAAACCGGGATTGTGGATGCCAAGCGGCTTCGGCTTCTTCAGGGAGCTGCGCAGCGGCGAGGCGGTGCTGGTCACGCTACCGGAAGTCGCCACCGACGCCATTGAACCGTTCCCCGCGCCGCCGACGTAGGGCTTGCCGCTGGCGTCCGTCATCGAAATGCTGCCACCTGTAACGACATTGGAATGTTATAATGTTAAGATAGTATCAAAAATGTTAGAAGTAATTTTGGATATAATATTAAAAATAATATTAGAAATAATGTTAGACGTAATTTTATATATAATATTAGAAATAATATCATAAGTAATGTTAGAAATAATATAAAAAATAATACTACAATTAATACTACAAATAATATTAAAAGTAATATAAAAAATAATACTACAATTAATACTACAAACAATAATACAAATAATACTACAAATAATATTAAAAGTAATATTAAAAATAATACTAAAATTAATATTACAAATAATATTAGAAATAATGTTAGAAATAATATCAAAAATAATTTATTTACAAATAGGTACAATATCAACATCTATGTAGGAACCGATGTCACTGGTGATACCTAACCAGATCGAATTACTACAGTTCATTCCCTTGAACGATAATTGCTTCAAAACGTTTCTATATTATAAATAATTTAATATTTTATTTTTTCCATTTTGAGTCTTTTTCTATAAAATCGTACCGCATTCAACGTGTTAAACCATATTCAAGTTGTAAGAGCAAATTTATCCCTGCAATACTTTGTCGAGAGACAATTTTGTTCAACAAATCTCAACGATTTTCTGTGGCCTTTCACGCCGAATCCCTAAATCCTTTCCAAATAAATAAAAATGTAACAAATAAAATTATTCAAAGTCTATATTTCGTATCTGCATCCATCTTTAAACTGACAGAAATATTGGTTGTTCTCTTGCAATTTCTCAATTCAATAAGATGATAATAAAATTCAGCTTCGTGCCTCCTGATATATTAACATGCTAAATATAGTTCATTTAAAAGGATAAAACCATAATTTAAAACCTGCTTCTGATTCTCTTGGATATAATTATAAAACGTAAAACATAACGTAGGATTTCTCTAATTAGGAGACTAATTATAAGTAAATTAACGATTTAATCGTCACGAAAAGAAGAGTGTTGAAACGAACTTATGTAAAATTCATTCGAATTAAAGGTAAATACCCACGCGCAAGTGTTTCGCACATGGATTAACAAAAGTCGAAACAAATTTGTTTTTACGACAGCGCGACACGGAAGTGACAGCGCTAACGATATGGTTTCCCGCGACGAACGGTTGCCAGCCGATAGCGCAGAAACTAGTTCTAAAACGATTTCCTGATGGAGATGCCAACAGGTTTCTGTGCACCCGCGCGGAATTTTCACCGGACGACTGGGGAAACAAACAAAACCTCGGTGAATTTCTGTGATAAGCGAAAAACGATTACCGTTAACGTATTCGCGACAGTTCTCATTAACGTGAGGCCCATTCATCATTGCCTCGGAAACGTACGTTTCTAGAAACAACTTTTAATGAAACACATTACTGAAGTACACGATGTTTATTACTGATTTATTGAGGTGTTGTTAAAAAGTTTCTCAATTCTGGTATTGTGGGAGAATGTTATAGTAATGGTACATTAGTAATAATAAATTGCTATTATATTAATGAGGAATTATTAATACCTGAAATGAGTTATAATTATAGTAAATCAGTACCTAATCGACGGTGATAATTACAATAAGTTAGAATAGTAGTAAATTGGTACCTAATTGTCATGGTTAATTATAATAAATTATGACAGTAGTAAGTTAGTAGTAAAAATAATAATAATACAGTAGAAGTCAGAAAAATGTAGACATTTTAGAAATATCAATGTTTCTGGTTTAAATTATGCAATTAACATGGAAATTTTTCGAAAATTTCCAAAGGCAATGAGTATTTAAAAGTTGAAATATTGCTTGTAGCTCCCCAAAAAAGTTATTTCAAGATTGCTTAAAACGTGGAAACTAAAGAATTTGTCAACCCTCTAAAACATATTGTATCACTTATTATTTATCATGAATAAAGAAAAAAGATTATCACGTTACCAAAAGAGGAATATAAAAATATCTATATATATTCTACTTATGTAGAATCCACCATATCAAAAAATATTTCAAACAGAAACATGCTATGTCATTGAAGAAATTCTTAATTTCGTTAAGAGTTTGATTAAGTAATTCGCTAATTATTAATTTCATTAAGAGTTTGTTTAAATAATTTTCTAATTCTTAAGTCTGTTAAGAATCTGTTCAAACAATTGTTTAATTCTAACTGTATTAAGAGGTCGTTTAAATAAATTTTACCACACGTTGTTAGTTACATTACTGAGCTGAGCGTCAAGAATCATTTTGCACGTCACTAGACGAAAAGACGAAGTGCACGTGTTGAGATCCATACCACGGAGGCGTGCACGTATGCAATAATGCATTTGAGCGCACCTGCAACCTCGCGAAGACACGTGCGAATTTGCATCGTCCTTTTATTCCTCTCTTTTTAAAGCTAGAGCTACCAGATGGATCGAAGTGTCCTATTTTACATTTCTCCTATCATAATTATTGAAAACAGATGATTTTCAGAGAAATTATTAGCAGTATTTTTACCAAGAGATAATTTAATCAAATCTACTAAATCACTTGATATAATCTAATTAAAACACGTACTGCGAAATTGGGGTTATGAAAGTATAAATATTTTATATAAACTATTTAATATAAGTATTTATGCTTATATACAGATATATTTATATTTATATTATACATTTATATTTATTATGTAGATATACTGTCCTTATAGTCTTAACTGGTTAATTTTTATACAGTACCTTTATCTTAATTTTATGTGAATTTTGAAAAGGTGATTAAATTTACAAAATAATTCTAAGCCAAAATTGTAAAAGATGTCTTTCGATATCTTCAGTGAAAATTATATTATAGTACAATAATAAAAATTATATTTCAGTTTACGCATTACTGATTCAATTAATTAATTCTAAGTCAATCGAAATTTCAATAAATCCACTGTTGTCACTTGCACAAAATTACAAATAGATTCGCTGGTCATCAGTTCTAGCGTTGCTTCGCCGCGCAACGGAGAAAACGAACGAACGTTTCCATTACGTTTACTCCGTTCTTCTTCATTTCCCACTTCCCTCGGACACTCTGTTACAGTCCTCCAATATTTACCTCCAATATTCACGTCACTCGCACTCCGTTCGTTAGTCCTTTTCGAAATCTGACACCACTGTCGTCATTGTCCAATTAAATGAAATTAAATTGCGCCATTTTTTTCTACTTTATTCTTCGCGAATTTTCCACTCTATGAAAACGCGTTTCTTGTTCCTCTGGAATATTGAATTCGTTTCATCGTTAACAAACTCCTTTTATTGCAATCCTTATTTTATTCTATTAGATTATCCAAAAAGGCTGGTCACATATTTAACTGAAGTTTACAGAGAAGTTTCACTACGTTGAATTCAACTTGTTTATATTTAAACAGTTTCTTAAATGTAATAATTACAAATAAGCTTAATAAAAATATGAATTATAAATTATAAATACATATTATACATGTTTTATACAATACAAATATAACAATTAATAAGTTTATTAGAAACAAATCAAATTATTTCAATTGAACTTACTCCTAAATGAAACTTCAAGATTCGCTGTTATAATCCTCATTGAACTATGTAAGCTCATTTTATTCGAAAATTTATTATCTTTTAGTTTACATATTTGCAATATTTATTAGTACATTGTAATATAAACCTCAATGCTTCTAAGACAACCTAGTATTTTCATGTTCCCCTTATTTATCCGTTTTCGCAATCTCCTCATTGCATTATCGCTTGTATCGTGTAAATATATTTATCCATAATCTCCCATGCGATACACCATAATCTACAACTGGTCAAAGTCTCCCTCCGGTCTCCTCGTTCCTCCTCGTCACCTCTGTTCCATTTATCTGTTGGCTCTACCTTGCGACCCAATCAATCAAAATGATAGACCGCATCCTCGGAGACTATTTTTCATTTTCCCAGCGTTCTCCTCTATCGATCCGTTCCACCATCTTCCTCATCATCCTCCTTTCATCAAATTGTCCTCCACTCGCGTCGCCTACCCCAGTTTTACCTGTTGCTTGAAATTTACAATGCCACGTGGCCTCCATGCAAAATAACAAACTCGTCTACATTATTCTACAATAACGAGACTAAAAGACAAGCATGTCTCTCTAATGGGATCTTCGGGACAAGAGAAACAGAAATTCTTGATGTAGATAGTACTTACTTCCTGGATCATGGAATTTCAGAACGTCTATCATGTAGAAATAAATAAACGAAACATAACGGTCCATCTGTATAAGAAAATTTAAACCTTCGCAACAAAATCGAATTATTACATTCTATCATCAAACTATATAACTTTCTTGGGAAATATGCCAACGAAACCTGAACCAGAATTAACCCTTTGCGGACGAAGATTCTTTGAAATATACAAAACTTTCAGCAGACGAAGCAAAGTTATATACCAATTGCTTAAATAATAGAAAAACCAGAAAGTACGTGCTGATCTCTTGCTGTTTGAATAATTAAATCATTTGTCGGCGATTTAGTCTTCGAAGCATCAACATTTCATTTCGCCGAAATGTCGACATTCGTCCGCAAAAGGTTAAAATATTCTGGTAACAATATCGAATTAAAAGACTTGACGTTCCTTTATAAGAAATAAAGAGTTCTCAACTGTTCGCTGGTTAACAGAAAACTAAGCGAAGAAGAAGAATGTTGTTCCGAAGAAAAGAATTTAACCACGTGCAGAAAACGTCGAAACGTTTACATCGATCGAATAGTTTCTATAATAATGGAAGTGTTCAATGCTAAAAGGAAAAAGTTCCAAATACTCTTCTTGTCTTTTTCAATTCCTTTCGAAATGTGATTTTCATTTTACATCATTCTTCGTTACTGTCTCTTTCATCTTCCCACGCTATGTACTCTTTTATTCCGCAAATTCTGATATTGTTCTCTTTTCTTTCTTGTACCGGTCTTTCTCGGTCTTCATCTCGTTCGTTTCCCTTTGTATGTTTCATTCTCCGTTTCCAGTTCCAGGCGCGTCCTTC